GAGCTGGTGGACTTCATCCTGGCCTTCATCATTCTGGTGTTCCCTCTCCTGGCCACCATTCTGTCCTATGGACACATCACCCTGGCTGTGCTTCGGATCCCTTCAGCCACAGGACGGTGGAGGGCCTTCTCCACCTGTGCCTCCCACCTCACTGTGGTCACCTTCTTCTACATGGCCATGATCTTCATGTATGTGCGGCCCCAGGCCATCGATTCCCGGAGCTCCAACAAGCTCATTTCTGCTGTGTACACTGTCCTCACACCCATGATGAATCCTCTGATCTACTGTCTGAGGAACACTGAATTTAAGGATGCTCTGAGAAGGTCCCTGAGACTGGGTAATACGCCTTAGTAGATATTAAGTATTCTCAAGTGTAATTCAAATAAAACCTCACATCACCTAATTCTATTTAATATTTTAATGAAATTTAACAAAACTGTAAAACCACCTACTGAGCCTTCATGTTTTCTGAGTGTGGATTCAGGGAACATCCCCCAGGTAGATCAGGCATCAAAGACTACTACTCCTAGCCACCCTCTCTGCCTCAAGAGAACCATTGTGCTGGTTTCTATTGCCAGAGAGTAACCTGGTGTTTTGAGTTTCATTAATGTAATCATGAAGTACTTACACTTTCATATTCTGCTTTGTCTCAGTAATATGTGTCTGGGTGTCTCCCTGTCTTTGCATGTAACAATGATTCATGCATTGTTGCTCAGTAATATTCACACGTGTATCAGCATGTAGTCCTGTGTTTTGCTATTGGCTGACAGTATTATGGATACTGTCTAGGATGTGTAATACTGCTATACACAATCCAGATAATATTTTTATTGGTATCCATTCAGTTTAGTGAGCTACACAGAGCTGTATCTAGGTTAGACATAGGTACACATAGGCTGTATGTATCTGTAACTGCTGAAACACAAGGTATGTGTATGGCCAGGTTTAGTAGAAACTTTTCAAAACTTTATGTACCAGTTTTACTCCAATTAGCAGTATAGGGGACTTCCAGAAGTTCCAACTCCTGGCCAACATGTAGGATTGTGCATATGTTTCAATTCAGCCTTTCTTCGGGGCTCCAAAAGTATCCCTCTGTGACTTAAATCTGCATTTTCTAAACGCAAATGGCATTCTGCAGATACTGACACTGTCTCGCTGTCCATTTGGATATGGTCTCTCTGGTGAGCTGTCCACATCTTCTGCCCATTTTCATACAGGTCCCTTTCCTTACAGGGCTTCCTACATCATCTGCATCTGAGCTCCCTGTCAGATCTGAGCCCTTGGATGCAAAAATCATCCAGTTCATTTTATGCTCTGCCCTCATGGGTCTTACAATGAGGAAAAGTTCTTCATTTCCATGTCTAATGTATATAATTCCCCTTATAGAGATTTTACATATAAAAAAATGTTTGCTTCCCCTAAGTTCATGAAAATGTTCTCCTGTGACATTCTAGAAGCTTTGTTTTTGTTTAATGTTTAAATTGGTAATCCATCTGAAACTGAAACCATTTTCCTTAAGGACCTGAAATTGGCCTAGCACTCACCCATTGTTTGAAAGGTTACACTCTTCCCTAGGTAGTGTCACCCTTTAATAAAACAAATCGCTTTCAGCAGTTACAGACACATACAGCTGAAAACAGGGCTTTCTGTGCTTTGGACTCCAGCCTGCTCTTTTTGGCTACATGGTTTTGGGAGCCAGACCCACTCAAGACTTTCTCAGAGGCTCTGATGAGAGGACAAAAGGGAACATTAGTTCTGCACCCTTGTACAGGAGTAGACTTTGCAAGGATGGTCTGGGGCTCAAGCCAGTGCCTCGAAGGAGTCAAGGTTGTGGTTTCTGGGGACCTGACTCTTCTCCCTGGGCTGTGGTTATCAGTCCTAAAGCAGCTGTGTCTGAAGGATCATGGTAACATGGTCTGATTTAGCTGTCAACCTTGGCCATATCCTCCCCCAACCCACCCACTGCAAATAGTTTATAAGATGCTGTGTTTCTTAATAAACTTGCTTGAAATAAGTCATCAGCTTATGCAAGAATCCAGCTTTTATTTTATCTATCTTCCACCTGCCCCCATCTCCTGGCACTTCTCCCTCAAGACCCAGTCACTGAAGAAGGACCTGGTTCAGGTCAACCAGTCTCTTCCTGCACTAGTAGCACAGGGTTTTTGGAATGTGGCCTTTCCTGTACCGTGAGGTCTATGAGCATGTCCTCCATTCATGTGCTTCTAGTCTAGCTTGTCTTGGTTTCTCTTGGGTCTTCCTGGAAAGAGTTACACTTCTTAGCATCTGCTTGTCAGCCTAAACGAAAGAAAAGCTTGCAGATTTCTATTCGTGGGATTGTGCTGAATCTACAGATTAATATGGAGACAATGTTATCATCACAATCTTGAGATTTTAGTAAGAAAATGAGCACCTGTCTTCTGTCACAATTTTAGTTTCCCGACACTACCTTGTAGCTTTGGTTAGCAGTTCTTTCCAGTGCTTGAATTTCTAAAAATTACAACTCAAAAAAGCATCTCTTAAGTTTAAATTGTAAAATTCTGTTACTTTATTACACTGTGCACAATGTAATTTCAAGCTTTCTTTTAGAGATAATGGAAGATTTACATAAAGTAGCAAAGAAATACACGAGGTGGTCAGTCCCATGTGTCCCTTGCCTCGTGTTTCCACTAGTGTCATCTTGCATGACTAAGGTACAGTTTGGTGACAGGACATTGACTAGGGCACACCCTACAGCACTTGCTCAAGTCCCATCAGTTACATAGATTCCTATGTCACAGCATATGCTCGTTTGTGATGACTGAGGACACAGTGTAGTCGGGGCAGAGCACTTCCGTCACCAGAAGACATCGATGCTACTGACGTGCAGCCACACTCCCCCCATGCTGTGGCCTCTAGAAGCCCCTGAGTTTTTCTTCCTGTCACTTGATTTCAACACATAATATATAATATAAATGAAACCACACCGCTTGACCTTTGGAGTGTGCCACTATGCCAGATCCTGGATTGTTTCCGATGTGAATTCAAGGAAGCTACTTGTATATTGAAGACACAGGTCTGTTGTCAAATACGTGGCTTGTAAATATTTTCTCTACTGTAGTTTTCCTTCTCGTCCTCTTAAGGTCTCGTGCGGCAGACATTTCTGGGTTTGATAAAGTCTAGTTAACCTGTTTCCTTTTTTGAACTACCATGATACTCTCCAGTTGCATTCTTTCCCCAAAAAAAATTTCAAGATTCTTTATGGCTGAACAAAACTTCATTTGTCTGTCCAGCACATTTTCTTCATTCCTCTGATGCTGGACACAGGTTGGCTCCATAACTTAGCTATTGTGAGCAGTGTTGCAATAATCGTTGAGGTGCAAGTATTTTTATGGCAAGTTAACTTGGAATTTTTGGGTAAGCACCTAGATGTGGTATAGCTTGGCCATATGCACTAATTCTACTTTTTAAAAAAGAATCTCCATACAGGCTAGCTGAGTACGTTATCACCAGCAATATATATATATATATATATATATATATATATATATATATATATATATTGTGTATATATATACATATATATATTATTTTTGTCCACATCCTCACCAGAATTTGTGGTTATTCATTTTCTTTATGACTGTCATTATGCTTGGATGAAGTGGAATATCAATGTACTTTTACTTTCATTTCTTTGATCACTAATGATGTCTTTAAATTTTTCATATGTTTATTGGTCACCAGTGTTTCATCATTTGAGAATTACCTGCTCACTTCACAGGCCTATTTATTAACTAGGCTGTTTGGTGTTTGCTGAGTTCTTTGTATATTTTAGACATCAATCCTACAGATATGTAGCAAGCAAAGATTTTCTTCCATTTTGTAGGCTATCACTTCTCTGAGTTGTTTCTCTTGATGTGCAGATTTTAGTTTCATGAACTCACTGTTTTCTGTTTGTGTCCTCTGCTTTTCTTCCAGCTTCCAATTCATACCTTGTATTTATTTTTAAAAGAATTCCATCTTTATTTGCTTTTGTTTGGGATTGTCATTTTTGCAGTATTGTTAATGGTATATCTAGGAGTTACAGTATGCAGACAAGCTTATAACAGTCTACTGTAGGGCTGATTCATTATTCTGCTCACTGGACCAAACATTACTTCCATTTAGGTTCTTCTAGCCCCCCTGCCTTCTTATTCTTTTTACTTACTCTGAGTATTTCCTGTGTATACATGAAGCACTACACTAATCATGTTACAGTTCTGTTTCAACCACCAAATGTGATTTAAAAACTCATTCACTGAGGAATAAATTATGAAGCTTCCATTCTCCATTCTCTCATTCTGACTTTCTGCTGGAGTCCCCAGCCTTCTGCTGTCATTTGGAAGGCTTCTCTCACCCAAGTATTCTAAAGAAAAGTCTTGCTGGAAATGAAAGCGGCCACTCAGATAGGCTTATTCTTCTTTCGAATAGCTGTGGAGTTCCTCCAACAGCTTCAGGAGATCCTCCACCTCCATCAGGAAACCCTCTGGTCACAAGCATCCACGGAAAATAAAATGGGTGGGAATACTTCCTAGGCCATTTTGTTGAAGTCTATATTATGTTGAAAATAAGGCGAGACAAAAAGAATCCCTGACTAAAAATCATAGACCACTCTCCTGAACAAGTGAAGGATTCCTTTTTAAAAGTTCAAGTACAACTTATTATTATAAGAATGACATATATAATCAAATGGGGGCAGGAGTAATCCAGGGATTCAAATCTCATTGAATAGTCAAAATTTACAAGTATCTCACAACAGTTAACTCACAATAAAAACTGTCAGCAAACTCAGGGCAGACGACTGACTCCAGCTTAAGTAGCATCATTAAGACTTGCAAGTTAATGGCATACACAGCTTTTCATTATGCCACCAACAGAAGCTGTCAAACACAGAGAGAGACCTTATCTTAGGAGGTGAGGCAGTGCCTTTCCTTGAGATTGAGCAGGGACTGACACCTAGCGCGCTGGAGGGGAGTTGTGGAATGGGATGATCAGGATGCAGGAGGAGAGGGTTCCCACTCCCATTCTTATATATACAGGAAACAGCACTGGGCGGTCTAGAAATGCGGAAATGCAGAGCACGTTCTGTGTCTCCTACATGGAGGTGGTCTACGCCCATCCCGGGACTGGCCCACTGTTTGGGGGATCCTCCCCCTAACAGCACTTTCCTGGCTTCCTCAGACTCTTCTTCCTTAGCCTCAGAGGGTCTTGGAGCTAAAGCCGTTTCCAGGAGGCAGCCGTGGAAGTGAGGCAGGGAGGTCTACCCTGGAGACCACGGTGGTTCCAGACCTGAGGCCACCTCAGCTCTCAGCACTACAAGAGCGCAGACCCGGGTC